GTTTGACTATCATGAATAAATTACAAGGCATACAAAAGGCAAAAAACACAATTTAGAGAGATGGAGCAAGCATCAGAACCAGACATGGCAAATATATTGAAATTATCAGAATGGGAATTTAAAACAACTATGATCAATATGCTAAGAATGCTAATGGATAAAATAGATAGTATGCAAGAACAGATGGGCAAGATATGCAGAAAGATGGAAATTCTAAGAAAGAATCAAAAAGAAATGCTGGAAATAAAAAAAATACTATAACAGAAATGAAAAATCCCTTTGATGGGCTTATAAGTAGACTGGGCATGGTTGAGGAAAGGATCTCTGATCTTGAGGATATCTCAATAGAAATCTCCAAAATCAAAAAGAGAAAAATGACTGAAAAATACTGGAACAGAATAGCCAAGAACTGTGGGACAACTATGACGGGGTACATATGCATAACGGGAATGCCAGAAGGAAAAGAAAGAAATAGGAGAAATATTTGAAGTAATAATAATAATGGAAAAATTCCCAATATTGAGGTCAGATACCAAATCACAGTTCCAGGAAACTGAGAGAACAATAAGTAGAATAAAGTGCCAAGAAATACTATACCTAGCATTTAAATTGCAGACAATCAAAGGTAAAGAGAAAATTCTGACAAGAAGGGTGCCTGGGTGGTTAAGTGTGTCTGACTTCAGCTCAGGTCATGATCTTGGGGTCCTGGGATTGAGTCTCACATCGTTGGACTCTCTACTCAGTGGGGAATCTGCTTCTCCATCTCCTTCTCCCTCTCCCTTCCCCTGTTGTGTTCTCTTTCTCTCTCAAATAAATAAATAAAATCTTAAAAAAAAAATCCTGAAAGGAGCCAGAGGGGAGGAAAATGATATTGGTCAGAAACTCAGATCTACATAAAGAAAGGAAGAGCATTGGAAAAGAAATAAGTGAAAGTTAAAACAAAACAAAACAAAACAAAAACCCCTCTTTTTTCTATTTTCTATTCTTAATTGATCTATTTGTTCAAAATCATAATAAAAGCAATGTATTTGATTATGTATGCTTATATATGCTTATGTATGTATATGGACAAGTGAAATGAATAACAGCAGTGATACAGGGACAAGATGGGGGAATTAGGATTATTTTGTTATTATAAGGTACTTACACTACCTCTGAAGTGGTATAGTGTTATTTTAAAATTGTATTAGTTGTAAATGTATATTGTAAAGTCTAAAGCATCCACTGCAAAAGTTAAAAAAAAAAGTATAACTGATATATTAAGAAAGGAGAGAAAATGAAATACTATAAAATGGACAATTAAAACCACCAAGGGTGGGATGCCTGGATAGCTCAGTAGGTTAAGCATCTGCCTTTGGCTCAAGTTATGATCTCAGGGTCCTGAGATTGAGCCCTACATTGGGCTCCCATCTCAGCAGGGATTCTGCATCTCCCTTTCCTTCTGCTCCTGTCCCCCACTCGTTTTTTTTTTTCTCTCTCTCTCTCTCAAATAAATAAATAAAATCTTAAAAAAAATCACAAAAGGCAGAAAGAAAGAAAACAAAAACAGGAATAAAGAACAAAAGCAACAGATAGAAAACAGAGACAAATATGGTAGGTACTAATTCAACTATATCAAGAATCAGTCTAAACATCAAGGTCTAAATATACCAATTAAAAGGCAAACATAGTAGCAGTGGATAAAAAATAAAAATAGTAAATTAAAAAAAAAACAAGACCTAAGCATATATTGTCTATGAGAAACTCACTTTAAATATAAAGATACATATAGATTAAAAGTAAATAGATGGAGGAAGATAAACCATGCTAACAGTAATAAAAAATAAAGCAGGAGTAGCTCACTTTAGACACAATACATTTCAAAGCAAGTAATGTTATAAGGCATAAAAAGGGACATTACATAAAGATAAGGGGGGTTAATGTTCAAGAATACATAGTAATCCTTAATGTGTATGCATCTAACAACAGAGTCAAAATATGCAAAGCAAAAACTAATAGAACTGAAGGAAAAATAAATGAATCCATTATTATAGTTGAAGACTTTAACACCCTTATATCATAAATGAACAGACCCAACAGGTAGAAAATCAGTAAGAACATAGTTGAATTCAACACCACCATCAAGAAACTAAATATAATGGATATCTGTTGATTATTTCATCCAATGACAGCAGTATACACAGTCTTTTCAAGCTCACAGGGAACATTTGCTAGGTAGATGACATTCTGGGCCATAAAACACACCTTACAAGTTTAAAAGAATAGGACTCAAACAATATATGCTCCCAAACTACATGGAATTAAACTTAATGAAACCAATAACAGATAGCTGAAAGACTCAAGATACTTGAATATTAAATAACATATGGGTCAAAGAAGAAATCTCAAGAGAAATTTCAAAACATTTTGAACTAAATGAAAATGAAAACACAACTTAGCAAAATTTGTGTGATGGAGGAAAAGCAGTTTTTAGAGGAAAATTCATAGCTTTTGAATGCATATATTAGGAAAAAAGAAAGTTCAAAAATCAATAATCTAAGTTTCCACCTTAGGATTACAGAGAAAAAGCAAGTTAAATCTAAAGTAAGCAGAAGAAAGGAATAATAAAAATTAGAGCAAAAATTAATTTAAAAAAACGAGAAATCAACAGAGAAAATCAATGAAACCAAAAGCTAGTTCTTTGAAAGAAATTAATGAAACTGGTAATCCTCTAGCCAAGCTAATTAAGAAAAAAGGAAAGAGGATACAAATTACTAATATCATAACTGAACGGGGGATAAAATGGATAATATAGGAATACTACGAATGTCGTGCTCACAAATTCATCAATCTAGATGAACTAGATCAATCCCTTAAAAGACACAATCTGCCAAAACTTACCCAAGAATAAACAATCTGCATAGACCTCTATTCAAAAATTGAATCAATAATAATCTTCCAAAACAGAAAATGCTAGGCCCATATGGGTACACTGATGAATTCTACTAAAATTTCTTTCTTTTAAGAAAGAAATTATACCAATTTTCTTCAGTCTCTTTTGGAAGACAGAAGCAGAGGGAAACTTCCTAACTCATTCTATAAAGTCAGCATTACCATACTACTAAAATCAGAAAAAGATGTTTATAGAGATTTAAAAAAAAGAAAACTACAAACCAAAATCTCTCATTAACATAGATGCAAAAATCCTCAACAAAATACTGGCAAACTGAATCTAACAATGTATAAAAAGAATAATATAACACAGATGCAGAATTATACACCATGGCAGTGTAAATGGTATTTATGCCAGGTGAACAAGGCTGGTTCAACATCAGAAAATCAATTAATGTAATCTGTCACATCAACAGGCTAAAAAAGGAAAAAAAATAACATATTATTGATATATGAAGGAAAAGCATTTGATACAACCCTACACTCATTCATTATAAAAACTCTTAAACTAATTGAGTAGAATTTCCTCAATTTGATAAAGCTTGTTGGCAAAAGCCCCTATAGATAACATCATACTTCACAGTGAGAAAACAGAAGCTTTACCACTGAGATTAGAGAAAACAAGAATGTCCCCACTCACCACTCCTAAGCATTGTACTAGAAGTCCTAACTAATGTAATAAGACAGGAAAAAGAAATAAAAGGTATACAGATTAAGGAGGAAGAAATAAAACTGTGTATGCGGATGACACAATTGTCTATGTAGAAAACTAGAAAGAATCAATAATTTAAAAAAAACCCTGTAATTAACAAACAATTACAAGCAAGATAGCAGGATACAGTTCAATATAAAAGTCAAATGTTTTGTTATATACCAGCAATGAATAAGTGAAATTTGAAATTATAATTATAATGAAATACTTAGGTATAAATCTAACAAAATATGTACAAGATCTATATGAGGAAAACTACAAAACCCTGATGAGAGAAATATAAGAAAAACTAAATAAATGAAGAGGTAGCTCATGTTCATGGATAGGATGACTCAATATTATCAAGATGTCAGTTTTTCTCAACCTGCTCTATAGATTCCATGCAATTCCAATCAAAATCCCAGCAGTTATTTGTGGATATAGACAAACCAATCCTAAAATTTATATGGAGGAGCAAAAGATCCACGATAGCCAGCAAAGGACTGAGAGAGAAGAACAAAGTTGGAGGACTGACACTACCCAACTTTAAGACAGTGTAGCATTAGTGAATGAATAAATGAATAGGTCAATGGAATAGAATAGAGACTAGAAACAGACCCATATACATCTAGTCAACACATCTTTGATAAAGAAGAAGAGGCAAAACATGGAACAAAGAGACCGTTTTCAACCACTGGTACTATGAAAAGTGAATCTAAACACAGGGCTTAAGCCCCTCACAGAAATTCATTCAAAATAGGTCACAGACCTAAATGTATGGCATAACATTATAAAACTCCTAGAAGATAACATAGAAGAAGCTCTCGATAATACTGTATTTGATAATAACTTTTTACACACCACCAAAGGCATGATCCGTGAAAGAAAGAATTGACAAGTAGGATTTCATTAAAATCAAAAATTTTTTTTTGCTCTGTGAAAGATACCATTAAGAGAATGAGAAGAGGAAGACATTTGCAAAATACACATCTGATAAAGAACTGTTATCCAAAATAGACAAAGAAACCTTAAAATTCAGCAATAAGAAAATGAGCAACTCAATTTAAAAATGGGCCGAAGATCTTAACAGGCATTTCCACAAAGAAGCTGGCAAATAAACATATGAAAAGATTTTGTAGTTCATCAGTGAAGTGTAAATCAAAAGAATTATGAGATACCACTATACACCTATTAGAGTGGTCAAAATTCAAAGCACAGACACCACCAAGTGCTGGTGATGATATGGAGCACCAGGAACTCTTATTCATTGTTGAGAATGGGAAATGGTGCAGCTACCTTTGCAAGACAGTCTGGCAAATAAATATAAAACTAAATACTCTTACCATACATCACAGCAATGGCCGTCCTTGGTACTTACCCAAAGGAGTTGAAAATTTATATCCACACAAAAACCTACAGCAGCTTTACTCATAATTGCCAAAACTCGGTAACAACCAAGATGTCCTCCATTAGTTGAGCAGATAAACTGTGGTACATCCACAGACCGGAATATTATTCAGCCCTAAAAAAGAAATGAGCTATCAAACTATGAAAACACATGGAGGAACCTTAAATGCATATTACTAAGTGAAAGAAGTCCATCTGAAAAGGCTACATATGTGTGATTCCAACTATATGACATCTGAAAAGACAAAACTACAGATATAGAAAAGGTCAGTGGTTGGCAAGAGTTAGTGGGGAGGAGGGAGGGATGAATAGGTGGAGCACAGTTTTTTTTAGGGCAGTGAAACTATTCTGTATGATGCTACAATGGTGGATACATATCATTATACATTTGTCCAAACCCAGAGAATGTACAACACCAAGAGTGAAGCCTAATGTCAACTATGGCCTTTGCTGATTATGATGTGTAAATGTTGGCTCATCAATCCTAACAAATGTCCCACCATGGTAGGGAATGTTGGTAGTGGGGAGGCTGTGCATGATAGTAGGAATAGATTAAGATGTGGGATTTAAGAGATTTTAGAAGGTGAAATTGACCCAGCCTGATAGAAGGTATGAGAGTAACACTGATGTGATTTGGTAACTAGAGCAAGAGCTCTATGAAGACATTGAGCTCTTCAATGTCATGAACCAATATAACATGTTCAGGAGGGCATAGAAAGAAGTAGACTCAGGGCAGAAAGGACAGAGGGCCAATCGGGAGCTGTCCCAGCAGACAGCTGAAAATCTGAGACCAGGGTTCAAGCAAGGAAACTTCTGAAGGGAAGGCTACATCCCAGTAGAGCAGTCACATTTGAGGGATACATCAAGGGAGGTGGCCTACAAAAGTAACAGGGTTAGAGGCCAAAGAATTCAGGACAGCAGCATTTCAGAAGCCAAAGATCCTGCTATATGCACAGCATGGCTAAGTCCAGTGAGACTGAAAAACACCAGATATAGGCCTTTGTGTAACTAGAAAACCAGATCACATGTGCTAAACAGAAAGCCAGAGTACAGAAAGCTAACATAAAGCCACATTTCTGTTTTGTTTGTTTGTTTTTGTTTTTTGTTTTGTGTTTCTAGACACATCTTTCTATAAGCTTGGCAGTTAAGGAGGGGATTATTCCGTGTGGAGCTTAGAGGGAGAGTCCAAGTCTAGAGGGAACATTTTAGAATGGGAGCTATTGAGGAAGATAAGTGAAGGAGATTTTTAAGATACAGAAGACAGCTAAGAAATCAGGAGAAAACAGAAAAGAGAAAAGAAGCGGTTAGCTAGACAAGAGACAAGCTACCCATTCTGAAAAATGAGGGACAGTAGTAAGGTACAGAAATAATGTATAATGGTTTGCTCAAAAAGTGATCTGATTTGGTTTTACAATCAAAACATGCACTAAGTCAGCTTCTAGGTTTCAAAGTTAAAAATTCAAGTAAGTACCAAGTTCCAACTCCCTTCTAACTCGAAAATCTGCATATTCAAACTCAACAATTTTGGTCCTCACTCTTATGAGCAAACAAGTTAGAACTCTCTATTTCATAACTACTCTGGAATAGTCAGGAACTACTGTCCATCTCTGCTCCAGTCTCTGCTTCCCACCAGCCATCGGGTAGAAAGTCAAGGTGCATTGAACTCTCCCCTGCCCACCGGGACCCTCGTGAACACAGCAGTGCCCTCTGGAGGTATAAATGTTCATTTTCATAGATTTGAGAGTCCTAAGTTTTCCTCATGATGTATGCCAATTATATTAAGCATATACAGACAGAAATATCATAAAAAGCTACCTTCATGATTAACAATCCACTGGCTAGACTATAAGCTCTGTGAGGGAAGGACCGTGCCCACTGCAGTCTCTACTCTATGACCAATGTTATCCAGTATCCAATACCTAACAGGTGCTCGCTAAGTACTTGTGGGATGAATGTCTACGGTAGTAAGATCCAGATAAAATCATATAGTAATCGGGGCTCCTGGGCAGCTCAGTCGGTTAGCATCTGCCTTTGGCTCAAGTCATGATCCCGGGATCCTGGGATAGAGCCCTGCATTGGGCTCCCTGCTCAGCAGGGAGTATGCTTCTCCCTCTCCATCTGCCTGCCACTACCCCTGCTTGCGCACTCAATGCTGTGTCAAATAAATACATAGAACCTTTTTTAAAAAATTACATACTAATCACTTAAGCATATGTTGTAATCCAAACCCATTAAGTTTCTCAAAACAAAAACAGTCTCCAGTGTTTTTTCCTTGGCAATGTTTTATCCCTATCTTAAAATTTCTATGCACAGGGGAACCTTGGTAGCTCAGTGGTTGAGCATCTGCCTTCGGCTCAGGTCATGATCCCAGGGTCCTGGAATTGAGTCCTGCATCAGGGTCCCCATGGGAGCCTGCTTTTCCCTCTGCCTATGTCTCTGCCTCTCTCTCTCTCTCTCTCATGAGTAAATAAATCTTTAAAAAAATTTCTGTGCACAATTGAAATTTAGTACACGTCATGTTTTGGAGACAACTATGGCTGGGAAGACTTACTTTACTTCCTTTACACACTTTTGAACCCCATCTTTTTCAAAACAAACATTGCCTGGTAATAGTGAACCCTTCATCTCAGACTTGCTTCTCATAGCTGTATCACATGATAAAGAAACAGGGAATAATGACAGAAAACAAACACACTTTTTGAGAAATTTTCCCATTAAGGGGAAAAAAAAATCGCACCACTATGGAAGAAGAGATTTGTTTCTTGCCTGCTTACTCGTTGGTGAGTTCCAAACTCCTTGGCTATTCTACTAGCACCTCAAAACCAACTGTTTGGGTGCCATTTCTTCCCATCAGACCTACTCGCCTGGGATCTTAGTCCCAGAATACTGACACCATGACCTGATAGTGTAAGCCCTGTGGACACCCTCATTGTCATACTTCTTCTTTACCCTCATATGAAATGGGTCATCAAGCCCTTTTATTTCCAGCATCTCAGTGTTTTCCATCAATCCTTAATACCTCTCCTTCCCTGGCCACTCTCCTAGCTCACGCGACTATATGTGCTGGGCTGAAATGGTGAAATGGTCTGTTTATGCCCCATCTCCATGGTATGCTAAGCCCTATGCTCCTAAACAAACACTGCATACTGTTCACCATTTCATCTCCAGGCCTGAGCCCTGTGCTCACTTTACTGATTTTAGGGAACATGTCGGATTCATATTTGGTTCCCTGGATTTATTACAATGTTTAGGGACAGCAGGTATGCACAAAGAGAAGTGAATGAATGCAATATTCTATTGGTTAAAATTCAGTTCTGAGATTAATACGCTTGAACTTGCTACTTATACCCGTATTTGGTGACCAAATGTCAATATGACATGTGCAGACGGCAAAGTAGACATTTATTTCTGACATATATAGAACAAGAACACATCAAGAATCTGGTTGTGATACAAGCCTCCCTAAATTGAATTTCCAGAACTGGGGAAAGCATCAAGTCACCTGAGTTTACTTTTTGTTTTCCATTCAAAAGGTCCTCATCATTATTTACTAGTTAGTCATTTCATCCTGCTGGGACTCAGTTTCTTCATATGTAAAATGAGTCTTTTCCAGCTTCAAAAGCATGCAAAAGGGAGTGGCCTGCTATTTTTATGCATTGAGTTTGAACGGTATTTTGAATAAGGAGCCTAGAAAAATAAAATACTCCACCAATGTGTCTTGCAACTCACACTTTAGTGTATGCATACATAAAAGTTTAAAGATGGCGAGTGGGTTAAGGTAATTTAGCAATAAGTTGTTCTAAAAAGATTTTGTGGAGAATATATATATAAACAATTATAGACAAAATTATAAAGTGCCTGGTATTTTAAAAGAATAGACCTAGAATACAGCAATCATGGCAGAGTCAGGAAGTCTAGTGGTAACCAACCTATGATTTGCAGTATTTGTAAAAAAATTTTAAAAACCTGACTAAAATTGCAGTTTTATTTTATTTTTCAAACTGCTAAACACTATTACACGACGATTCCTTAATGCTTCCTCTTCATATATACTCAAGACTTTTAAGTTGCCAACCTAGCATAGCTCTTGCACTAAACACGATTTGTGTTGGCAATGTCATGTAGTTGGGTATACTGGGATCAATATTATTACATATAGAACCATGACTACCTTAATTTTTATGTCTTTTATAACCACTTTGATCAAATCATCTTTCTAAGTCCCCAACTTTTGTTATTTAAGGCCCCAAATAAACTAGAACTCTAAGAAGCATGATTGTCTTACAGATTATGCATTTAAGACACTGAAGAAGTATAAAACCTCTTATTCCTTATCAATCGTAAAGAGAATAAAGTAGAATCTTTTGTTCTACATATATATATACACACACACACACACACACACACACACCCCAACAGATGGAGGCTTAAAAGCTAAGACATACTTCCAAGCCTTAGTTTAAGGAGGAAGAGTACCCACTTGTTTTTTTTTTTTTTTCACTCAAACCCACATATTTAAATTTAAATATTACTCTTTCAAACAGCATGCCACATTTCTGGTGAGTTCCTAAAACATAGGAAGATGTTAAATAGACTTTTGGGCAGTGACTACCCCTGCAATGTCCCAGGAAATTCTAGCCAGACCAGATTCCTCTCTACTTTCAACTAAACCACACAGGAGCTCATTTCTGTCTCTGCGGATATCCTTCTCCATATTACGTATATGCTCCTCCAAACTTCAAGTCTGCCATCTTCTGTGAGGCCTGCTTCAGCAGTTCCAGCTGGCCTAGACTTTCTTCCGAGTTCTGAAGGTTCTGGAGTTCTAGTAGCACGCAGTCATGTCGGTCTGTCGGTTTCTTTTTACTTTCTCCCCTGTCCCCACCCCCTATTCTATGCCCTACGGAGAACCAGGCTGATAGAAGAGGGGGGCTCTTAGGTTCCCAGTGCCTAGAAGTGCCAGAACATGGGGTGTTTTGGCAGCTCCTCAACGATGAGTGACCTATTGGTATTTAAAGATCACACGCACACATGCTATCTTTTATAACCAGGTCATTTTTAAGGGCAAGGATGATTCTATTGTCTTAGGCCATTTCTATCACTGTGGTCATAAACATAACATGCTGAGATAAAAACTATATTTAGAAGCCCTGAAAGATTGGGGTCCTCTGAGCCTAATGCCTCACTGGAAAAAATTAAAGATTTATAATATTGACTTTTGTTAGCAGGATCATTGTAACCAGTAAGTGATATCCAATGCTTCTAAACATGAAATGGAGGGATCCCTGGGTGGCGCAGCAGTTTAGCGCCTGCCTTTGGCCCAGGGCGCGATCCTGGGGACCCAGGATCGAATCCCACGTCGGGCTCCCGGTACATGGAGCCTGCTTCTCCCTCTGCCTGTGTCTCTGCCTCTCTGTGTGTGTGTGACTATCATAAATAAATAAAAATCAAAAAATATATATAAAAAAATAAAAATGAAATGGAGCTCAGTCTTTGCTGAGAGTTCTAAAGTCAGTATATATAATGGAAGAAAATCAGAGTCAAAATTGTCCTCGAAAAATCTTTTCAGTGGGTCACCCCCAAAATATAGCATCCATGGTTTTGTACATGTCTCATTATGTCAAGGCACATACAATAAAGCAGTATAATTTCCACCAGGGTTGGGAACAGAGCTGTTCCTTCCAGTAAGCATTGTAAGCATCCATATAAAGTAGTTAACATTTTTCGGGGTCGTGTACTAGGGAAAGACACTTTTTGGCTTTTATTTCCTTCTTTTCCTTACAAACACAAGTCTTATAGTTGAATCAAATGAGCATGAAATGCAACACTACAGAGAACGAACTGTTAAGATAATGATTTAATTCTACAAGTAAAAAACCGTAGGCAAGATGAGAGTGACAAAAGCACGAGTCAGTTTGGAAGCTACCATGGTATGTCCTTGAAAGCCAAGTCTGTATTAACACTTGGAAAACTCCCCCTACATTTCTCCAAGTAACCCGTCAGCTCTGCAGCACCTTATCTACAATATATATCTACCTTTATCCCTTTACATACAAATTGTTTACAAAAAAAAAAAAGCAGCAGTTTTTTCCAGAAGTATTTCTCTAAAAATAAGAACAAAATCTAGGTTGTGGAGAACTGTTTTTGATATCTGGCTACAAGTTATTCAAGATAGTCTGCATATTTTAAAATCAGAAACAAATCCAGTTAAAGCAAAGACACCGCAAAAATGTCGATGTCCGCCTTGTCTCCCCTTCCACACACACAAAATCAAGTCTAGTCATAAAAAGAAATACTCTGTGTAATTATCATATGACCCACAATTGCACTCCTGGGCATTTTTCCCAGGAAAAATGAAAACTTATGTTCACACAAAAACCTGTACACGAATGTTTATAGCCCTTTTATTCTAACAGTCAGAAACCGGAAACAACCCTGAAGTCCCGACTGGTGAATGGTTAGTTAAACAATCTGCAGGACCACCATACCATGGAATACTACCCAACAATAAAAAAGAACAAAGTCCTGAATAAGTACAAGTTGAATTTCCAGTAAAATATGCTGAGCAAGAAAAGCCAATTCCAAAAGGTAACACACTATGGAATTCCACTTCTGTGACATTCTGGCAAAGACAAAATGATAGAAATGGAGAACAGACGAGTGGTTGCTGGGGTTAAGGAGAAGGGGCAAGAGAGATGGGAGTATGGATATGAAAGGATAATGTGAGGAATCCCTGTGGTGATGGGAATGTTCTGTACCTTCTGTAGCAACGTTAACAGCCAGGCTGTGATATTACACTACATGTTATTAGCGTCACTATTGGCAAAACCGGGTAAAAAGTACATGGGAGCCCTCCATTAGTTAGCTGCGGGTGAAATCTGGAATTATTTTGAAATACAAAGTTTAATTAAAAATTTAAAAAGAAATAGTCTAGCCTAATAAATTTACTTGGCGATATTGAGATCCAAGCTTAAGAATAATCACAGCACCTTTGATTCTTTGTAAAAACTACAGAAGTGGATGGAGTACAAACTGGGTCAAGCACAAAACAGTGACCCACAGTAGTTTCTACGGGTGTCACCGGCATCTGTGAATCTCCCCAGTTTCCGCACTGAGGACTGTCTCTCACCAGACACCACAGAGGCCAGAGGAATCCTTCTGTTTTCCTACAGATGCCACACACCACAACAAGGCATTTCCCAATGGCAAGGCAACCCATTATTAGTCGGTGTACACAAATATAAGAACTCTGTGAAAGAACTGGGTATCATCTTCTTTACATAAATCAAATATTCAAACACATATCAAATGATCTGCCCGTTAAGGCAACATTTTCATGTATCTGAGTTGCGCTAATAGATTTTGTGAGGAGAAATGTTCTATTCCAAGGGGATTAATATAGAGAAGTAAAAAAAAAAAACATGCATGGATACTTTTCAAGTCTTTTTCCGCCCATAAATGTAATAGTTATATTACATATATAATGATGCTGAACTGCTGGAAGAATCGCTAGGACAGAGACAGGGATTTTTTTTTTTTCCGGAACCCTCTTTTTTCAAGTATAAACATTCATTCGATCCAATAAAGACATTTTAGAAAAAAGTCAACATACATTTTTCTATGCTTTGATTCAAACAGAAAATGTTTGGTGATACTCTACAATACTAGTCATTTCAAACAAAATGGATGATCAAGAAGAACATGACCTTCTGTATAACAAGTGAGGATCTGAATTGGAAAAATATTTTTGTCTATAAATAGGAACATCCAAAACAATTTAAACCTCTTGAGCACTTGATTGTCCCAGGTCCTTTGTGTCTAGATTGAACAGACCACAGGAAGTTTCAAAGCCTGATATCCAAATCTAAAAGAGAAAAAAAAAAAAAGATCTGTTTAGTTGTCATGTTCAATCCCTAATATCTCAGACTTCACCAACTGCACTTTCTGCTTGGGGGAAAGACAAATCACCAATCAATTATGTACATTAATTAAAAATAGTACCTTTAGGAGGTGTTTTCATACCTTAGTAATTGGGGTATTTCCTCTCACTGATGATTTTGAAATCTTTTCGATATCACATTAGCCAGGATGCCCTAAACATTTGCAAACACTTAATGTTACAGTCTACATACACTATCGAATTGCCCTCCAAAAGTGGTGGTATGATTCTGCAACTGGTTGAGGTCACATGGAAAATAGAATTATATGCTAATTTGTTCCTATATTAAGTTATCATAGAAGGTCAGACCAAATACAGCAAAATGAATTCTGGAAAAAAAATTAACTAAGTAGATTGGTATGCACCGTATCAAAGTAAACTGTTTATCTTAATAGATACAAATAACAAGAAAGATTTTTTAAAAGGGGGCATTTTCTCCTTTTCAAAAAAAAAAAAATGTCTTAACTAACCCCAGGCAATGAGTTGTATGATTTAAAAACACTCTATATAAATAATTTTTTCTTACAGAACAAGGGCAGAGTATTTTTTTTCAAGGGGGGGGGGAATGGAGAAGGACGTAGTATCCAAAAGAGAATAATTTCCCCAGAAAAAGCCTTACTTTAACTACATATTTATTAAAACCTACTTCACATAAGTAGTTCTACACATGCACTGTAAAATGAACTCACAAGTTTAAACTATATGATGTGGTCAAGAAGCGCTGAGAATAATACATTTATTTTTTATCTCCAAAATAAATGACAACATAGATGTTCTCATTAGCCTAGATTTGTCTGGGGAAAAAAAATGTTTTATTTAAAAAAACTACGGAGAAAAAAAACCTATATTCATTTCTTTTTCTGGAAGGCATATCTATAGATATCACCTTATCCATGGATAAGTTGTACAGTTAGTACATCAACTTAAAAAAAAACTGTAAAGCCAATTAATAATTGAAGAATTTGTGGGCAACCAGTTTTATATGTAATAATGATGTATTTCTCACAGTTCTAGTTTCAAAGGTCTGTTTATAGAAAAAGCACAAGAATTTGGGGGAGAGGGTGATAGAGAAATAGAATCTTACAGTATCTGAAACCATGGGACCAGTGATTTTATAAGGCGTTGGATCTACTGCAGAATACAACTAAGACCAGTGACAGAGTGTCACACCCTTAGGCAAATTCCTGAGGATGGGGGAAATGATAATTTTTGTTCTAGAGTCTATCCTTTTTTCCATTAAGAAATAGGTTTCTATTTTTCATTTTATTGCAACATTTCCAGGGCCATCCTACAAGATAACTAGCACTCACAAAGAGCCATCTGAATTTTATTTCAATCGGAACTCATTATTAATTTTTAAAGGGCCTTTACCTACTGCTTTTAATAAGATGCTGTTACTATTAGTTATCATAAAGTATGTTGGAGTTCCACGAATTAGCAGTTTGATATCTTGTTCAAATACTTACTTTTTCCTGCTATATATTACTAGCAATTTTTACCCTATTTTCTCCTAACCAAGTTAGATACGAAGATACTTATTCAGGCACAAAGTCTTCAGGCTCCTTGATGGATTCTAAAATACAGCTATATACTTCTCTACTATTATTCTTGCCTGGAGGACCTTATGCATTAGGATCTTAATCTATGAAAAGTTGGGAATTACATTCAAAAAATGGGAGGGAAGTTGGACAAAAATGAAAACATGCACCGATGCCTAAGTAAATTAATCTTCATTCACTGAAAGCAATCTGATGTCCAGGGACTGGGAATTATTCTCCCATAAAATATGGTGCATTAAATTCTACAATAACCCGTTTGAAATGTCCTAAGATAATGATTATGTCATCTACAAATTATCGTACATATAGTTATATTTTAATATTCATGACTGGAGGTTCTAATGCAAAATATGCTGCCACTGTGAATATACTAAGTCGGTTAAAGATAAGATCAAGGAAATCAAATTCTATGACTGAAAGTTAAGACTCAAAATCAGATTTGCAAAAAAGAATCGATAAAAGTAAAGGCAAAAATATTTGGCCCCAGGTTGTTATCACAAACAACACTATCATTCCTGATGGTTTGCATATAAAACTCCTTATCTCCAGGAGCTGGTTGAAAAGAATGAAAAGCTTCTTACAACCAGCTAAAAAGAAAGTCTTTACCAGGCTCCTTGAAAAAGCTCATTTTCACATTACTCAGGCTTCATTATGCTAAATCAATATTCGTTTAGTCACTGGGGTTATTGACATATTTTAAAATAAAAGTATACCCTTCAGCTACTGCACTCATTACAGGTAATTTGTCTTGTCAGAGAGCAGGGAATATTATCCTAGTCTTTCAGGGGCTGACAGCCCATGGAAATACCTCCCCATGGTTACAACTGTAAATAATTTTAAGGTAAAATATTGAAAAATCAATGACTGTTTCCTGCAATCTGTCACAAACAAATCAATCATAATCTGTACTGCCAGAGAGTATGATTTGAAGGAGATGGGAGCAGATGTAATTCTTGGCTGAAATCTCTCATTTCAAAATCACTTCACATAATGGTGTCATCATTTAAACACTCAACAGTCAGTACAACTGCCACTGTAACATCTAGTTGGACAAAACCACAAGGAGGAGGAGGAGAAAACGCCATCGCTATTATGTTAACAAACATTTAATTTTAATGACTGCTGCATTAGTAAATTTCAGCCGAAAACAGTTTCACCTGTCCGCTTTCACGGTCCCACATTAATCAAGGCTGCTGGTCTACGTCCGAATGCTTAATAAATTAGCCTCTGACTCAAAACTTGACTCTCCCACGTACACCTTTTATCTTCAATGTCCACTACAGAGAATGGGATTTGGGATTAATAAATGAGACATCTGGATTGTAGAATATCCATAATTCTGCTCATATAACAAAGACAAAAAAATCGTATCATAGATGTCAAGATTATACTTTTAAAGTAGGTATAAAGGTCTCTGAGTGGCCCGGATATTAAATTTTATATTTTCCTTCTATTAATACATATTGTATTTCAACTTTGTAATACTGTAGCCTATTTTAAGATGACCAGCAAGACCCAGTCACTTCAAAAATACCCTTGCATTCTATACCCGAGCTATCGAGTGATATTTTAAAAACCGGAGTAATAACCCAAGCATCTGAAGTGTAAAAGTTGGTCAAGGTCATAATATTGAATTGTTTTGTGAATGTAAACTGCTTTCCAAGTAATCACTTTGATATCACCATTTTTACTAGGCTACATCTTAATGGCTTCCTCGGCTTACAACTTCTACCTTGGCATCAATACAAGAACCTGAGATTGGTATATTTCCCCTTCTTGTTCTGTTAACCGAAAACGTCATTTGATTTAAAGTTCAAATAGTCTGTTTTCTGCAGGTTTTTGTTTTTAAATGTACACTAGCCCTTTTAATGGAAGAATTTGGTTTTAGCTACCACACTGCTTACCAATTTCCTAATTATATAATTGGATACCATGAAACCCTTTATTGTCCTATTAATATCCCTCCACAGGTATAGTTCAAGAAGTAGATGTTTTTGGTGACTAGAAAAGTATATCATTTTTCTTAAAAAGGAAAAAAAATAGATATAAATATCATTCCCCAACTAAAGCCTACATAAACATTCTTAGACACAGTCAGTGGTCTTTCATAAAAGGGTTTTACTCTGTTTTTATTTTCACCTGCATATTCAATGTGGCAACACAGCATGATACAAATTTCTTCTGGCTACAAATTGTGCATGAATATTGTTCCTCAATAATCTTAGAGTCATTCTTTAACACTAACATTAGATGTTTGAAAATGGAAAAAAACAAAAACAAAACAACCCACAAGGGTAAATGATCAACGATATCATCCAGAGTAAAACAGAGTCTTCCATTCCATGTGAATCCCTGCAACAGCTGCAGAGGAAGCAGCAAGCCAACCTAATGAGAGGAAAAGGAAAGTATATTATCCGTAACCTAGGATTGCAAGGAAAATGGAAAGGGACCTAAAGGGGTGAACAAGGCAAAGGACCCACGTGTGTGCGATCCCTTGCACCAGAGCAGCCCAGGCTGGGCCCAGGCTCACTCCTTGGCAGAGCTCTGGAGCCAGTTGTCAACCACCAAGTCTCCCACTCAGAGTCTGGGTGAGGCTGGCAGTAGATCGCCCTGCAGAGAGTGCATTCCCAGAGAAGGCAACAAAGACTGGGAGGTAAATGAGGACAGCCAAGCAACATGCTGAATGCATGCACATCAGCCACAAACTAAAATGACATCTACTAGAACTGGGGAGGCCACCATCACAGATCTAATTCTCAGAAAGAAGCTATTTTAAGGGTGCTGAGTATGCCTAGATGAGATTTCTCAGCTCTCCCGGCACAGCCCACAGTCCTCGGAGAAGCAGCTCAAAACTCAGCACAGGAAAATCAGATCGTTTCATACCCCACATTTAAAGAAATTGCTGTCTGGTAGATAAAGTTCTTATATGTAATAAAGGCTCAGGATTACAGAGGAAAGTATTCTTTTAAAAGAGATAATATTACCTCCCTATCTTCCGAATCTCCTCCTTCCGATAGCCAGTACAGTAGCTCCATTATGAACTGTAGATTCTTAAAAAGAAAAACAGCAACAGTTAGCTTCATCTTTCCTTCACTTCCTTCCTTCATGGAATTACAATTTAATTACCAATACTTCAATTGATTTTATTCCTGAATGACACATTTCTCAAAAAGCATACTCTAGCTATTTCCACCAGAGAACATTTAGTACAACCGTCTCAATTAATCAACCATAATCCATTACTGTTGAAATGACATGTTTTCTTCATATTTTTTTTAAATAGGGACATTCCCACCTATTTTATATAAAAAGAGTACCAGTTTTAATACATATGAATATCATCAATACAGATGAAACATGAATCTTAATAGCAAATTTTGGCTGACAACAGATATAAAACAAAACCCATCTGCATATAGGTTTAGATTTTTCTTAGGGTGGGGGTGGGGGTGGGGAATCGCCAACCAATACTCAGTAAAAATTCAACAGTTTTACACATGGTTGAAAACAACAACAAAACAACAAAGGTTAAGCTTAAAGTCAAATGGAGAGAAATCAGCTGCTCACTACTTCACATTTTCCTTAGATTCCTGTTGTGTATTTTCTAACTTGCTGTAAGGCATCAGCTCCTGGTCATACATGAAACCCCGTCTCCATAAGACCCAATCAGAGACTGGGCAACACAAGTGTATTATTTGAAAACAATTATGTATCGCTTCATTTTTATGTTAAAAATCACTTTAAACCCTTTGAAAGTTTATACAGAAGCATTTGTTCTACGCAGGCTGTACTAACTAGAGTTGCTTTCTGTTTAAATTAGCCTTTTTTCCTTTGGTCATACGATCATCTTTTTTACTTAACAAAACATTCTCTACCACTAAATCCAGTTCCTTGCTCTCCCCAATAGACAACGTGAATATTCTGCAAAAGAATTTTTTCTCATCTTTATATTCAGCGGCCCCTATTTTGATGAGAAATGACAAGCTTTACACATACCTGTACACCCTCTGTCATTAAAAGAGTTTAGTACCCATGTCTGGAGCTGATCCTCCTATTAAAGTTATTCTTAAAAGAGCTGGGTAATGAAAATAATGAAAGACTATAATTTGGTATAAACAGATTATTTCCTTTAAATAATAATTCCATTCCTATAAAATGTAACCTCAGTCTTGACTTTTATGGAAAGCACTGAGTTTATAAATTTCACCATCCAATGATATCATAAAAAATTAATTATTCAGTGTATTTCCACGAATCAGAAATTTTTCTAATTTACTGAACCTCTGGCGAATGCATTTAGTTAAATTTTAATAATCAAAGGCCTCAAGTGACATTCTTTACATTCTGTACTTAGTTCCTATTACCAATATAAATACTTTGGTAAAACCAACACTGATGCTATTTTGGGTTTACTCCATACATAAACACACTGTGTTACAGACACTCACTTGCAGATGAGCTTGGGGATATGCAAGGACAAATTTCAGCCAACATTTGGAGGAACCCCATAATTCAGAAGTGAACTAAAACATCCAAATGCATTATGGAAGCGTCATACTTATAAACTGCACACACACACACACGCAAAAATGAAAATTATTCTCCTTAAAGAAACACAGAAGACTAGCTAAATACTTTGGGGATATTAGATAGGAATATCTAATCTAATTTTCTCCAAGGTATCACTCCATATTACTCCAAATAAACAAATAAAGGCTGTATCAAGGTGTGGAATATCATTAGCCTGAGAAAAGGCTAGAAAAATGAATTACATAAATGACAACTGCAGGAGAAAATTGTATTTCCTTCTCCTGAACAAATGTTAAGTGCATCCTTACTAATAAAGATTTAAACTTGAACTACATTAGAATATACCAGTTTTCAATTTTGAAGCATCTAAGTTAATTTGCCAAGCTAAATTGGTGCTTAGGTATACTCTAGCTATGAAAACACTGTGAATTTATGCAGAAATAAGTTATAAGTATCATACTTCAGAGTAGTGCTGTGACAGCAAACCATAGTCATTACTGCACAAGAGAAAAACAAGTCCAGGATTTTACATCTTCTTAGAGTTGCATCAACTGCATCTTTTAAGCAGAATTATTCTCTATAAAACAGCTAACAATACACCAAAAATATGTTAAAATTAAAAGAGCCAATAAAATGTAGAAATTGAAGGGAAATACACACACACACACACACACACACACACACACATATATATATATAGCTATTACAACACAAAAAAGGCTGTGCTACCTCAGAGCTAAAACAGTATTCCAAATATGATACTCTCTTGATATTCTATTTTAAAGAACACATTTAACTCGCTTATGACTACATGACTTCATTTACTTGCACATTATCAACTGAAGAATGTTTAATTTTTTCCTAAGCTTTCTATAATGTAAAAATATATTAACAATTATTTAGTGTTATTCATTAAAACAGACAATAGGTAATTAGTTCACATTCTTATTTCATTTCTTTTAACACTGCATATAAAATTTGAAAATAACACATGGATAAACAGCATAGGGATGCTGATCTTAGCTGCCAGAACAAAAATTTTGATGGGGGGCATGGGGGATAAGTAAAGTAATTATCTCGAAATTAATGCTCTTGTTTTAGTTTCAGCAAACAAATCTAAATAAGTCTTTCTTTGATTTTAGTTTACCATGTAATTCTAGCCAGCTAATTATCCTTGGAGTCACGAATGAGCTGTGACTCTACACCTGGCTTCTCCGATCATATGCCTATGGCCTCCTCCACTTTCATTTCCTCTTTCTACAATGAGTTTTAATATTAAAGAAAAACACTCACACATCTTATATACACACTGATGGACAGCCAGCTTCCAGGAAATCATGAGCTACAAAGAGAGGGGGGAAAATCTTAATGCAATACTTATGTTAAAGGGTATTAGGTGCTGGGTGAGCCAAGGGTAATATAATCAGCAGCATCCGTCTCGCTATTGTTTTGCATTCAGAAATCTGAAGTAAAGGAGAGTAATATTATTTTAGTGGTCGCCCAGGTTATGATTCAGATCCTTAAACTAATAAGAGGCTAAATGCACTTATGCCCACTTGCCCATAATTTGAATTTATAGACAGCATTTTGGAAGAAATAAAACAGTTTTCTTCTCTTTCTGTTAATAAAAACAAGGCATTCCATAAAGAACTAAGCTAAGTACTTGATGATGTGAAAAGAGAAACTACTTTAGATCATTAAAACATTCTAGGAGACAGTTTCCCAAAATATAAAGTAGCATAAATTTCTCATATATTTGCCTTTTTATTATATTCCTGTTTCTGCGCATTAAGCGAGCCTTCCTCTACAGATTTATTCTCAACGCTAATAAATGTTTGCTTAATAACAGACTGTCTCATTTATGCTTTTTTTTCCTAAGTTAGTAACCATGACTCCACAAAGAGCACAAAGAAAGCTGACAAAGGCATGGCCCAAAAGCCACAAGTAGCATTACTACATGCCAGAGCACTTAACATTAAACTACCATTTCTCTCTAAAACTTCTGTTGCCAAAGCGCTCACAAAATCTGGAAGCTCAAAGACAGGTTTCAAGTGCAATTAAATTCTCCCAAAGCAAAACTGTACAAAAATATGCCGCCCTTCTTATGTCACCATTTCATAGACAACATTTTCTCAGGATCTTAATTAAGATAACGATGCACACCTGTGTCAACATTCTCTGGCAAGACAGCCTTATCAATCATAATCCTTTAAGTACACTCCGAAACAGCAAAGCGATATGACAGGAGCAATCTGTTGCCTTTCCTAGTGCCCCGTGTTGTGTCTCTCCTACAAGAATGATGAGATCTTTAAAACACAGCAGACCCACTTTTATGGGTCTTTAAAGTTTTAACTGTAAACAGTTGTTACGCTAAATAAACAGGAATAACCTCTTTTGCACTTGATTTAAACGATGACAACTGCACAGCCAAAACTCGAGGGGCAAGCTCTGCGGCCATGGCTTAGCCGTGCGATTGCGGATCTCACTTGGAAGCTTTACATTTTTAAGAGTTTCGCGTGACCGCATCCGTGCGGACGCGACAAACCAATGAACCTTTCTTAGGAAGTCTTAGGATCACAATTTTTCAGAGTGCCACATTAAAAACAAACAGGGCACGCCTACCCTCAGTGGAAGTTAAAAATGCTCAGAAAGACACAAATACAAGAACAATCCCCCCGCCTCCCCCCCACCAACGCCAAAAGAGGAGTCATCTGGGTAACGTGGGGGGAGGGGGCGAGGGCTCCCCCCTCCGCGGGGGCGAAGCTCCAGCACGAGGCCAGCCAGACCGCAGCGTCACCAGGGAGCAGGGTCCCAAGCGGGAGAGCTGATGATGATGAAGGAGGAGGGAGGGAGGGAGGGAGGGGAGAGCGGACGTCAACCGTACCCCCGGCCGGGATCAAAAAGGGAAGAACCTCGTGTTTACCACCAGAAAAGGAAAAAACTTCCCCACGGACACGGAGCACCCCCGCCAGATGCTATCTGAATCCCACCAGTTCTTCCACTTCACGTATTAGCACAAGTCGGAGACGCGGGGCGGCCGCGGCCAGCCGAGCAGCAGAGCCATCAATGTGCAAATAAAGCAGAAAATAGAGACATCCTTAAGAAATGAGTCTTAAATTTGACGTAGAGCGGAGGTGACAACCACAGCCACAGAACCATAAATTCGAAATGCTTCGGTATCTTTCAGGATTGTCTCCAGCCCCCGACACCGAAACCACGACGGGAGGAGGGCCGAGGGGGGGCGGGGCGGGGGCGGGGGCGGCCCGGGGCGGCCGCTGCTGGAAGGAGGACGTCGGTGTCCCCGACTCCCCTCCTCCGCGGCTCCGCGGCCACGGCCGCGCGAGGGTGGAGGGGACACGCCCACGCGCGCCGGCCCGGGGCCCGCGACCTCGCGACAGGCCCGCCCGCCGCCGCGCGGGGCGCCGCCGCGTCCGTCCGGTGCACGGAGGCCCGCGGGCGCGGCTCGAGGGCAGGAGGCCTGGCCGCGGCGGCACCGGCGGACGCGGGACTCACCTACCGTCCGGCGCGGGCGCGCGGGCTGCGGACGCTCCCTCGTGGCTGGCGCGAGCCCCCGGCGGGCGGCGCGCGCGGGCCGCTACCGACCGTTAGCGCGAGGGGCCGCGGCGGCGGCGGCGGCGGCGGCGGCGGCGGGCGGAGCCGGGGGCGGGCGCTGAGCAGCGCCAGGGCCGCGGGAGGCGGGAGCGGAGGCAGCGGGGCGGGGTCGCCCCCCGCGACCACCCGGCCTCCACCGAACCCGGCTGCCCGCGTGGCCAGCACTGCCCAGCTCCGCGCTCCCTCCCGCGCCGACCCGCAGTCCCCGCCGCTCCGCCTCGCCGCCGTCTCCGCCGGCTGGCAGCCACCGGGGCCGGGTTGCGCCCGCCTCCGCGGCCGCCGGCTTCTCGTCTCCATGACAATAGCGCCCCGACGCCCCGCCCGGCCCCACCCCCTCGGCGCCGGGACTCGGAGGGCCGCGGGCTCCCGTCGCTGAGGGGCAGGGCCAATGGAGGCCAGCGTCCAATCAGAGACGGAGGCAGGGAGGCACTGGGCGGGGCCGGCCGAAGCACTGTCCAATGTGGGCTGGAGGGGCGGGGCCGGGAGGAAGCGGACGCGGGGGAGGAGTTAGCGCGCGTGCGTGAAGTCCCGCCGCCCAACGCCACCGAGTTGACCGAGCGGGTTGCTGTGCGGGGACTGGAGCTCTGGAAATAAAGCGTATCTTGCCGGCGAAAGGCATCGTGGGGAACCGCGTGCTTGTGCTTCGGCTTGCGTGTGGCCCCGGCTTATACAAGTTCACCAAGTCCCTGCGCCCCTGAGCTTCAGGGGAGTGCCCCGCCCCGTGCCAGCAGCCCCCTGTTTAGGTTCACCAGCGCCCCTGTCTGTCCCGGAGTTCGAGCGCGTCTGGCTTCTGGCGGCGCGGGCTGGAGAGCCAGGCAGGGGGTCTGTTTTGTATTCTAACCGTGTGGCCGTCGTGGGCGAGGGCTCTGCCTGTGACTCAGTTGTGTGTGTTTGCCTTGCCAGCGCCTCGCTGAACAAACAGTGGTTGGGTTGGGCGATGCCGGGTGTTTGCAATGCAGCGGGGGCGGGTGTTAGAGTGCGCGCTACGGGGAAGGGGACCCTCACCCTCCACCCCCACCCCCACCCCCACCCCCACCCCCACCACCGGCCTGGCCTGGCAGGGGGAGCCGAGGATGGAAAGCCCCGAGAAAGAGGCGGTGCGTCCTGGCGGGGGCGGGAGGGTCCGGAGGCCCGCTCCGGGACAGCTGCTTCTCCGTTGGGCAGCTCCCACCCGTTACCTCTCCTCCAGAGAAAGGCTACCCCCGCCGTCCCGGGCCCCGCCCCTCCCTCGCCGTTTGGCGGGGAGCTGGTGGAAGGGAGGCCGGAGACGTGCAGATGTCCAGGGCCTGTGCCTCGCCCACCTGCTGCTGCTGCTGCTGGCGGAGAGGGCCGCTCATCTCGGCCCCCCTGCGCCCTGGACGCAGGCACCCCTCCGTCTCTCCCAGGGACCTCCATTCCGGGTCTCCAACTGGCTCCCCGGCTCCCCGGCTGGGGGGGAGAAGCCGGGGGCAGGTAGGCGGCGGTCCGCCTGGGAGCCCAGCCTCTTGCGGAGCAAGACGTCCGCTAATTGCGCGGTTTACTGCGGTTTACTGCGGCCGGCACAGAGCGGAGCGCTCGCGGGCGCCCAGTCAGCCGCCTCGTCGCCTTTGTGCCTCGGAGCGACCGGACCCGCCAGCAGGGCCCGCCTTGCGTCGGATCCGCCGCTCCACCCCGACTTAGCTGGGAAGGAAAGTTGGAAAAGATCGGCGCGCCTGGGATGTGATTGTCATCCTGGGGCCGGCGCTCGAGAGTCTGAGAAAGAGAGAAGAGAGGGAGAGAGACCCGGGAGAGGAGGGGGGAGAGAAAAAGGAGGGTGGAGAGGAGGGCCGCGGAGGAGAGGCGGGCGCGAGGGAGGGGCGAGGCGCGCGCCAGCGAGCGGGAGAGGGAGCCGGGGAGGAAGAGGGAGAGGGCGAGGCGCGCCTGGCGGCCGGGTTGGCTGCGGCCGCCCAGAGGTTCCTGCCAGTCCTCCCACCGACTACACCCCGGGAAGGAGGAGCTTCGGGCGCGCACAAGGCGTCAGAATCCTCAATTTCCAACTTAGCATCTTGGCAGGACCTTTGCGAAGCCAAAAGCAGAGCCCCCCAGTGCAAAGAGCGAGGGGGAAAAAGAGAAAGCAGCAGGGGAGGGGGGGCAAACCCGACCGGGGCGAGCGAGAGCGAGGCGCGCAGAGGAGCGGGCTCGGCAGTCGCCGCCGGAGGCGCGCGGGAAGCCAGCGAGGAGGCGCCGCGGGCCGGAGCCCGGGAGCCGGGGCCCGACGAGCGGCAGCCGGAGGCCAGGTGCCCGCCCGCTCGCCCTCGCAGGGCGCCGCCCGGCTCGTTGGCGGCCGCGGCGCGGCGCGCCCCATGCCCGTGCGTGGCCATGTCCTACCCGCAGGGCTACTTGTACCAGCCGTCCGCCTCGCTGGCGCTCTACTCGTGCCCGGCGTACAGCACCAGCGTCATCTCGGGGCCCCGCACGGATGAGCTCGGCCGCTCGTCGTCCGGCTCCGCGTTCTCGCCCTACGCCGGCTCCACCGCCTTCACGGCGCCCTCGCCGGGCTACAACTCGCACCTCCAGTACGGGGCCGACCCCGCGGCAGCCGCCGCCGCCGCCTTCTCGTCCTACGTGGTGAGTGAGCTGGGAGCCGCGGCGGGCGCGGGCAGCTGGGGCCGCGCCGGGCGGGCGGGGGCCGCGGAGCACACGGGCCGCGGCGCCACCGCGGACCGCCCCCGCCGAGCTTCGCGGCCCCTGCAAACTTGCGCGACCGCCTCGCTCGGCTTCGCCCGGGCCTCGGGCTCTGGAGTTGCTCGGAGAGCGGAGCCGCGCGTCCTGCTTGGGGCGCTGAGCTGACAGGGCTTTTGGGGCAGATCCGGTCGCTGCAATTGAAGAGCAGCGTTCGGTTCGAACGTGAGCTCCGGGCCGCCCTGCAAATCTCATCGCATTTTATTTTTATTTTATTTATTTCGGGTTTTGCCGTTTTGGAAAAGTAGTTCCAAAGAAATGGACCAGAAATCCGAGCAGAAGCGTGCTGAGCCTATGTAAATGTGTTTGGCCTCGCCTTTAATTAGTCCTCCAAAATGTCGCAAATCCGTAATCCTATCTTCGCAATCCGATTTGGAGGTATTAAATTTCTGAAAAGTCGGCCGAGCTGCGGTGCATCCGGGATTTTTCGGCCGGGTGCACTCTCTGGAAAAGCGCTGTGGCTTCGGTTTGGGGTAACATTTTTGGAGGGGTGGGAGCGCCCGCGCAAGGCTTAGCTTTTCCTTTGCCTTCCTCTGTGAGGCGAAGAATGCCTTGACTTCTCTCGCCCTCCCTCCTTGGCGCCTGCCGCGCAGCCACCAGGGCGCGAAGTGCCGAGTCGCTGCCGCTGCCCGGGCCTCTGTCTGGGCGGAGGGCCTGGCCGCGGTGGCCGGATCCGCGCTTGGGGGGCGGACTGGCCCCGCAGGGTGTCGCCGAGGCCGGGACGGCGTCAGGCGCCCCGGAAGGACCGGAGTCAGGAGTTGGCGCCCCCGCTGCCCGCTGCGGAGGAGGAGGAGGAGGAGGAGGAGGAGGAGGAGGAGGAGGAGGAGGAGGAGTTGCCCCGGGTCTGGGCCCGCCGGCCCTACCCCTGGGGAAGCCGGCGTTTGGGCCTCGCGGCTCGCGGACCCCTGGGCGCAGGGCAAGTGTGCCCCTGGTCGTCTGGGTGGTACTGGGGACCACGGCCCACGCTCACCTTCTCTCTGCCTGTTCCTTGCAGGGCTCGCCCTACGATCATACACCGGGCATGGCCGGCTCCCTGGGGTACCACCCATACGCCGCGCCCCTGGGCTCGTATCCCTACGGGGACCCCGCGTACCGCAAGAACGCCACGCGAGACGCCACCGCCACGCTCAAGGCCTGGCTGAACGAGCACCGCAAGAACCCCTACCCCACCAAGGGCGAGAAGATCATGCTGGCCATCATCACCAAGATGACCCTCACCCAGGTGTCCACCTGGTTCGCCAACGCGCGCCGGCGCCTCAAGAAGGAGAACAAGATGACGTGGACGCCGCGGAACCGCAGCGAGGACGAGGAGGAGGAGGAGAACATCGATCTGGAGAAGAACGACGAGGACGAGCCCCAGAAGCCCGAGGGCAAGGGCGACTCCGAGGGCCCCGAAGCAGGTTGGTGGGCCCGGGAGAGGGTGTGTTGGAGCGGGAGCTAGACGGGAAAGCGGGGTCCCCGGAGGTTGGGGGCGAGGCTGTCCGCCTCTGCGGGCGGGGACCCGGGCCCCGCCGCGCGCAGCCCCCGCGCCCCTGACGGCCTGGGGTTTCGCCCGCAGGAGGAGCGGAGCAGAAGGCGGCTGCGGGCTGCGAACGGCTGCAGGGGCCGCCCACCCCCGCCGGCAAGGAGACGGAGGGCAGCCTCAGCGACTCGGATTTTAAGGAGCCGCCCTCCGAGGGCCGTCTGGACGCGCTGCCCGGGCCCCCCCGCGCCGGCGGGCCCTCCCCGGCCGGGCCGGCGGCAGCGCGGCTGGCCGAGGACCCGGCCCCTCACTACCCCTCGGGCGCGCCGGCTCCGGGCCCGCACCCAGCCGCGGGCGAGCTGCCCCCCGGTCCCGGCGGGCCCTCGGTCATACACTCTCCGCCACCGCCGCCGCCACAGGCGGTGCTCGCCAAGCCCAAACTGTGGTCTCTGGCGGAGATCGCCACATCCTCGGACAAGGTCAAGGACGGGGGCGGCGGGAGCGAAGGCTCTCCCTGCCCACCGTGCCCCGGGCCGGTGGCGGGGCAAGCCCTGGGAGGCAGCCGCGCATCGCCGGCCCCGGCGCCAGCGCGCTCGCCCTCGGCGCAGTGCCCCTTTCCAGGCGGGACGGTGCTGTCCCGGCCTCTCTACTACACGGCGCCCTTCTATCCCGGCTACACGAACTATGGCTCCTTTGGACACCTTCACGGCCACCCGGGGCCAGGGCCGGGCCCCACGACCGGTCCGGGCTCGCATTTCAATGGATTAAACCAGACCGTGTTGAACCGAGCGGACGCTTTGGCTAAAGACCCGAAAATGTTGCGGAGCCAGTCTCAGCTAGACCTGTGCAAAGACTCTCCCTATGAATTGAAGAAAGGTATGTCCGACATTTAACGCGGGCTGCGTCGGTCCCGGACTTTCCTAATTTATTAAAAAACAAAAAACAAAAAAAAAACAAAAAAACATGGCCTTGGCAGTTATTTTTCCATCAACAAGAGAGAAAAACAAAACTACCCCTCCTATTAAAAAGTTTATAGTTCACGGAGATGGATGACATACACATGTAAACATCTCCCCCCACCCCACGCAAAAATGTCTTAACCAACCGAAAAGAAAAAAAAAATCAAAAAAGGATTTGTATTAAATCTTATTCTGTATATTTAATGTAGCATTTTTGTATTTAAATTGATAATTCAATATCTTTGAAGTAAATTATGAAATTAAGACACCTGTACAGGCATTTAATGTTTTTTTGTAATATAAATATATACATTTGTGTTCCCCCAAACTGTTTCATAGTTTAAAAATACAAGTTTAATTTAATTTTTTTACACCTATTGATTTTTTGCTGGGTATGAGCTAAAGTATTATTACAGAAAGGAAACAGGTTATACTCTTAGATTTAAAAAGTAAAAGAAACTGCAGCCGCCTTTGTAAAATGCAAAATATTTAATTAAAAGAGATTTTAACATAATCAGAGCCACTCATTACTTTTTAGAAGCCTCAATAAACTGTCCATCGCCTTGGACAAAAGGTGGAAACTGCAACTTTTTTTTTTTTTTTTTTTTTTTGTTTTCCGAAGTGGGGAATGAAAGGTTCCGCAGAGCAACCTCAGTGTGCCAAGGGGAAACCTTAATTAGGCGGCAAGCCCCGGGGACCCTAAGCCCTGCCGGGAATGCAGATTTGGATCACTGATGGGGGGCTGCTTGGGGGAGATTGGACCCTGGAGGAAGGAGGAGAGAGACCCAAGTGTGTGCCCAGAAGGGAGAAGAGATGGCAAAGCCTGCTCGAGACGCGCACCACCCGAGCTCCATCGCTTAACCTAATTACTTCCAATCAGTGTCGTGTTTTATGCAAAGCAATCAGCTGGTGAACTTTGCTAATGAGTTCGATTTTATGCCGGATTTAGCCCTTATTACTATTTCAAAGGTGCTGTGGGCTAATGCGGGCGGGGAGCGTTAGGGGATGCCAAGGAGAAGGCTTTCCCAAGTCACTCTTTTCCCTACCCCTTCAAAATTGGGCATTGATCTCTTCGCTGGATTTGATTAAATTAGTAAATGTTCCAGCCGCGACAGTGCGGGTGGTAGGCGGCCCCGCAGATCCCCGCGCAGCAGCGAGGCTGGGGCCGCGGGACCGGCTAGGGGACGGTTCCCCCCTTTCACAGGTAGGTGTCACACTTGTCCTGAATTACAAGCCTACACTTCGCAGAGTCGGAGATTGGAGAGTGGGCGGAAGTGGGGGAGGGCGCGCCACAGTCGCTTGGGGGCGGTGAGGGGAGCCCCGAGCCGCCCGCGGGGCGC